GAATTTCCAATTAAGACTTGGAAATCATAACATAAATAACACTATAGCACCTTGAGACTTTGCCTGCTTTAATGATACTTGCTGAATTGCCTGGCTGTTTTAAAAGTTATTTTTAATCTTTTTTTATTTTCAGGAGAATTTTTACATTCTCTTATATTAATAGTATTCATTAATATGATTCAGTATCATTTAAGGAAAAGAGGATCACAAGGTGAAAAGTCAAAACGACCACTAAAAAATAGTCCTTTAAATTAGGTAGCATCTATTATGTATTTGCTAGGTCCTATGCTCCTTCCTACATACCTTCATGTGTTGAGTTATCCAGTCCGCCCCACATCTCTAGGAGTCAGGTTTAATTGTTAGCTCCATTCTGCCCACAAGGACTCCCAAACACAGAGGTTAAGTGACCTGTCGATATAGCCAGTAATTGGTTGAGCTTGGAATTTGAGTCTCCAGTGGAGGACTATAAGAAGGGAGAATGGGGGACTTCCCTGGTGGTTCAGTGGCTAAGAATCCATGCTCCCAATGCAGGGGCCCTGGGTTCAATCCTTGGTCAGGGAGTGAAGTGAAAATGTTAGTCGCTCAGTCATGCTTGACTCTTTGTGACCCCATGAACTGTAGCCCACCAGGCTCCCCTGTCCATGAAGAATTCCCAGGCAAGAATACTGGAGTGGGTTGCCATTTCCTTTTTCAGGGAATCTTCCCAGCCCTGGGATCAAATCTGCACCTCCTGCTTGGCAGGTGGATTCTTAACCACTGAACCAGGGAATCCCCCAGTATATCCATATGGTGGATTAATTTATGGTCATTAAAGTGATAGCAGGGGACGGGGCGGGCAGGCAGGCAGTGGGAGTGATGTAGAAGACTTGATAAGGGCAGTTGGCATAGATAATGGAGTTGGGACCCACCGCTGATGAGGGGTAATACCACTGAGCTGTTCAAAACCTGGCTGAGGGCCGACCATGAATTTGTCGTGGTGGTTCGCTCCTCTGCCACCTTCAATTGCATGTTTTCTTCTGGTTGTAGTCAGCAGTCTAGTGATGGGAGGTAGAAAGACAATTTTTTTTTTTTTTTTTGTCCAAAGATGGGACCTGGGAAGCCAGCGTGACCGAAGGACAGTGAGAGTCCTAGCAAAAGAAGTAAAGCATCTGGGATTTCCCTGGTGGTCCAGTGGCTAAGAATCTACCTTGCAGTACAGGGATGCAGGCTCAACCCCCAGTTCAGTAACTAAGATCCCACACACCGTGGAGAAACTTAAATCTGTGAGTGGCAACTACTGAGCCTGCGTGCTGCAACTAGAAAGTCCGTGCACCGAAACGAAAGATCCCACGTGAAACAACGAACATCCCACAACAAAGACCAAGGGCAGCCAAATAAATAAGTAAGTGAAGCACCCATGGGCTGGATAGGAAAGGAAATGAGGCCAAGAGTAGGAGATGAACCTGGGGAAAGGGAACGAGCCATGAGGCTAGGAGGTTCATTCAATGGGGCGGGGACTGTTCTCTCTTCTGCTGTGTTATCTTCCTTCCCTAACACAGCCAGGTGCTCCTAAATGCATTTTGAATGAATGAATGCATGGGTTATTACTCTGACGTTAGAGCCAGAGACTGGCATTCTGCTTTTCATCAGAGAGCCACAGTGGTGGCAAATATCACTTCAGATCAGAGAAAACTGAGTTCACATTCAATTTTGATCAACAACAAGCTGTGTGACCTGAAACAAGCCACCTAACCTTTCCGAGCCTAGGCTTTCTTTTCTGTAAATAGGGATAGGGACAGATTTCTCAGAAGTTTGTTGCAGGGATTAAATGGGATGCCTTGTGTCGAGTCCTTAGCACTGTGTCTGGCACTTAGGGATCACCTGCTAAGTACCATAGGAGGAATCATGGTCTCCAAGAGCCTGGCTGGTTCTGGAGGCTGCATCCAAATTCAACTGATGCATTTAGTTAGAGGTCACAACTGCAAGACCTGAAGTAAAACTGCTTTCTCAGTCAGCTAACTGTGACATTTCTGAGCCTATTTCCTTATTTATATAGTAGGGATAATATCAAGGCCTACCCAATAGACTGGTTGGGAAAATTTGAGTAATAATTTATGAAAAGCATTTAGCATACTGCAGGTGCACAACAGATGCTGGCTGCTAGGATTCCCCATTATTGGAGATGAGGAGGAGTTGGCTTTGTTGAGGGCATAAGAATAGGTGTTTCGGACCTGTCAGTCTGAGATGGCACAAGACATGAAGCGGAATTGTTAGGTGGGCAGTTCAGTGTAAATTCAGAGAGGAGGTCTCAGATGGGGAAAATATCTGGGACTCATCGACATACAGATAATATTTCAAGCCAATAAACTGGGGACTTCCCCTGGTGATCCAGTGGTTAAGAATCCCCCTCCAATGCAAAGGACATGGGCTATAAAACTGGTCACAGAACTAAAATCCCACATGCTGTGGGCAACTAGAGATCCCACATGTCGCAACTACTGAGCCTGCAGGTTCCAGAGCCTTTGCACCACAAGAGAAGCCCATGCATTGCACAAAGACCCAGCACGGCCAAAATTAAAACAACAACAATAACAAACCAGCTAAAAAGTCAGCATTAAAAATAATAATAAGCCCATGGACTGGATGAGACCACCAAAGAAATAAGTGCTTAGAGAAAAGGCAAGAATGAGAACTGAACTCAGGGGCACTGTATGCTTAGCGATGAAGGACATAACTGTCACTACAAAGCCGGTGACCAGACACAGTGGTGCTGAGGCTGCATGGCCAGCCTGCCCTGGCAACATTTATTTAACACGCTCTTATATACTGTGCCAGGCTCTGAAAAGAGTGCTTTATGAAAATTAACTCATTTTATACTCATAGCAATCCTTTAAGTTAGAAGCAATTATTATCTCCATTTTGCAGATGAGAGAACTGAGACACAGGAAGATAGCTAACTTAACCAAGGACACTCTGCTAGAAAGTGGCAGAGCTGAGATTTAAACCCAGGGAGCCTGACCTCAGAGCCTCCATCTTTTCTAATTTTAAATTGCTAAATTCTACTTGTGTATAAACCAAGTGTCAACTGGATTTTCCAAGGGAATGCTGAATTTCTTATTCTCTGACCATCGAGAGCAGAGCTGGGAGAACTGTCCTGGAATACGTTGCCATCAGAGGTGCCACTCAGCCTGGGTACCCCAGGATTAACCCTAGTTAGCATTTCAGATTCTTGGTTGAGAAGAGAAGAGGAAGGGGATGGGTGTCTGATCAGGGAATTTATAACCCTGACAGATCACTCAAAACTTCATACACAGCCCTGGAAAGTCCTGAGGTGAGGAGGTTAGGGAGAGGTCAAGGGCTTATGTTCCAACTGTGGACTCATGCACCTGCATTTGCTACTTTCTTCACTAGTTATTCTCAGAAATAATGCTGGCTGATTTGACGCAGGGGCCGGAGTCCAGGTGGGAAGTTGGGGTGGCCCAGGGGGGATTAACCTTGGGGGCATTCTTTATCTCCATGGGCAAGAGCTGCTCTAGGGGTTCAATTGCCCCATAAAACCTCACTGTGACACGGAAGCAGTTTGAGTTCATTTACCCCTCTTGGAAGGTTCTCAACGAGTGTCTGAACAAATAGGTGAACCTCGGTGGAAGAAGGGGAGAGAGAGAGTGTGTGGGCGGGTGGAAGGCTGGAGGGTCAAATGCACAGGGGCTCCATTAAGAGGAACACAGCTGAGTCAGGCATCCTGGTGCCAAGCCTGTCCCTTCCCGCACCCCTGCCTCTCCCATCCTGTCTCTGCTGCGGGCTTTGGATGAGCTACTGAGGAGAAAATGGTTCTGACCACTCACAAGGAAGTCCACGGGAAAGAAAGTGAAGTCGGGGTCTGCTGAACCCATCTGGTCTATCTGCCAGCTGCTGCCCACAAACCCTGGCCTGGAGCTTCTTGGAGCTTCTTGGAGCACAAGTACTGGGGATTCCAGGGCCCCACCAGGCTCACCAAATCAGAAGTCCTGTGGGGCAGGGCCCATAGGTTTCCATTTTTCACAAGCCCTCCTCTCCTGCACCCTTAGCAGTGTATGATTAAGACCACACTTGGAAAACAGTCTCATAGCCTGCTCTTCCAGACTGCTCTGAACCAATAAGACAAAATCAGAGATTTCCCAGTGCTTAGTAGGTACACAGTCATACACAAGTAGGAAATGCAGCCTCTTCCCTTAAAGGGATTGTAATCTGATTGGGAGATAAAAGACACATTTTGTGAAGAGTTAAACTAATGCTACAATAAACAGTGGGCATTCCTTGTGGTTCGGTGGTAAAGAATCTGCCTGCAATGCAGGAGACTCGGGTTTAAGCCCTGAGTTGGGAAGATGCCCTAGGAGAAGGGAATGGCAACCCAAGCCAGTATTCTTGCCTGGAGAATCCCATGGACAGAGAGCCTGGCAGGCTATGGTCCATGGGGTTGCAAAGAGTCAGACATGACTGAGCTTCTAAGCGCACGCGCATACACACACACACACACAGAATAATAATATCATTCAGTGAGCACCTACAAAATGCTAGATCCTGTGCTAAGCCCTTTATTTATATATACTCATTTAATCCTCATTTAGTCTGTGAAAGGCAGGTCTGTTTTTGTTTTATTTATTTGGCTGCACTGGGTCTTAGTTGCAGCACCCGGGATCTTTGTTGCCGCGTTTAAGATTTTAGTTGCAGCATGCTGGATCTAGTTTCCTGACCAGTGATCAAACCCAAGCCCCCTGCATTCGAAGCTCAGAGTCTTAACCACTGGATCACCAGGGAAGTCCCAGAAAATAGGTATTTTTATCCCAACTTGTGTCAGGATGGCCGACACAGGATAGTCTAACGCACCAGACTCAAGCTTCTGCCTCCTACTTACTAATGGTTTATTTGCCAACTTCCCTCACACCAGCCTTCCCTGACCCTTAAGAGGTGACAAGAGTGATGCCTCTGTTTTTCAAAATACCCTGATGTAACAGACTTTATCTCATTTATCACACCATGTTGCAACTGCCTGTTTCCTAGGCTAGGCCTCTCACACGACTGGAGGACAGATACTTGGTAGTTCCAGGGTCTGGGCACAGTAGGTACTCAGATAATATTTTCTGAATGATTAAAGATTCTGTCTGAAGTCTTGGTTAATATTGTGACTCTAAAGCCCAGGTTTCCCCATGAGCCATTACAAGCAGCTGGTCCATACCAGGCAGATTCCTGTAACTGATTAGCTACAGGTTGGAGTAATCGAAGAAGGCTCCCTGGAGAAGGTGGAGTTGGGAGGACAATTCAAATTTGGAAAGACAGGTGAAAGGTGAGCAGTCATTCCAGGCAGGCCAAGGCACAAAGGTAAAAGGGCAAACTTCCCAGAGACCCCAGGGGATTTGAGGAGACTATATCCCATCCCCTAAACCTCTCTACCTTAACCATCTTACATCTAACCTACATCCCAAATACTGCTGTGGATTTACTTTCCTCCAAGATTTCCAGAGAGATGACAAATGCTCTTATTGGCTTCCCACGCCTAGACCAGTGGATTTCTCCATTTGGAAAGTCCCTTTAAATAATGAATGGAGTAGTTTTCAGTTTCCATGAAGATATAAGATCCATTAATATCTATGACATACTGCTAGGTAGGGGAAAAGGCAAGGGAAAACAGTGTCTTTAGATATCAGCAACTGGGCAATCAGGGGCTAACCCAATTCAGTCCCAATGTGGCAACACATATTAAGAGTTGTAAGAATGTTCCAGATCCCATAACTTTGTAATCCTTTAATGCAAGAAAATACATGTAAACAAGCTCACTGTGGCCTCTCATTTAAAGGGGTAACCTGGGAACCCCCTAAAATTCCAACGGCAAACATTATGTAGCCATTTCTAACAATAAACACGGCAGCTTTGTGACTTCCCTGGTGGTTCAGCAACTAAGACTCTATTCTCCCAATGCAGGGGGCCCGGGTTTGATCTCTGTTCAATGAACTAGATCCCTCATGCCACAACTAAAGATTTCGAATGCTGCAACTAAGACCTGGCACAGCCAAATATATAAATATAAATGTAAAAATATATATAAATATAAATATATATATGGCAGTTTTACAGAAACATGGGATTATATTTACAAACCAATACTGAGCAAAGAAAAAGAGAATGGAATATTGCATTTACATGGTGACTATGGCTATTATATATCTGTTATAATTTGAGTCAGTGAGAAAGAAAGCAAGGATGAGAGAGGAGAGAGAGGAGTGAAAGAGATAAGAGAAAGAAAAAGTAATGGGATTATGGAAGGTTTTTAGAAATGTCTTTAAATGATGCTGAAAATTGTCTTGGTAGTAAATATGAACTATACATAGGGACTCTGTGACTTTGAGTGGGATACTTAACTTCTCTGAACCTTGGTTTCCCGGTTTCCTCCTTGACAAAATGGGGACAATAATGGTATTTACTTCATAGACTTGTTTGGAAGATTAAATGAGATAATCCATGTAGAACTCTCAGCATCATGCCCAGTGGATGGTAAACACTCAGTAAGTGTTAGCTGTTACTGTCATTGTTATGTCATCAATGCATCTCCTGTGTCCTGAGTTGGCAGTTGGATTCTTTACCATTGAACCACCTGGGAAGCCCTGTAAGAGCCACAGTCACCATGTAAATGCAATATCTTGTCCTCTTTTTCTTTGCTCAGCACTTGTTTGTAAACACAGCCCCACATTTCTATAAAGCCGGCATTAAATATGTATATACCTGGCTGTGCCAGGCCTTAGCTGCAGTGTTCAATATCCTCAGTTGCACCATTTGGGGATAAGGGGAAATGGATCAATGAAGGAAAATTCTCATATGCTCTAGATAGGAGTGTAAACTGTTCTAGTATAGATATAGTTTTAACTTACATGTAAGTTTATATATAACTTTAGGTACAAAATCTCTTTGTTCTAGGAATTGCATGTCTAGGAATTCACCCTTAGCAAATAATCTTAGTAAATAATCCGACATGTACACCAAGAGGAGTGAATGAGAATTTTATCTCAGAGTTATTTATAACAGAAAAAAATTGGGAACAACCTAAAGGCCCAGCAATAGTTACATAAACTGTGAAGCATACATACATAGCATAGGATGTGGTATACCTTTATGTAATGATACAGACATGTACTTACATCATTACATAAAGAATAGATGACAGAACAATATAATCTTATTTAGAGAAGAAAGTATAGGTATTCACTTAAAAGTCTGAGAAGACAGATACCAACCATTATCAAGGACATTTCTGCCAGAACTGTCACTTGCTCTGAATTACAAAATTTTAATATATATAATTTAGCATCAGAAAATCCAAGATGGGGTGGGGGGGAGACAGTGTGGGTATGTGTTGATTCTTTTTTTTTTTTTAATAAGACCCTTGGCTGAGGCAAGGAATTCTAAAATTGAAAATTGTAGATTTGCAGAATGTGGCAAAACTGGTTCCATCAGTTCAGAAACCACTCAGTCCCAGGTCTGGGGTTAGCAACTGTGGTGAATTCTGCTTTGCATATAAATGATGGGGATTCTAAGGGACTCTAGAAAAGGAGACAGATGCAAAACTTTCCTTAATAATAATAAACATGAGAGCCTTTGTAAGTGCTTCATACTTTGCATGGCCAATCTATTTGATCCAGAGAGCAGTCCCATGAGACAGGCAGGGCAGGAGTTATCATGAAGAGATGGAGTTCTTGAGTGTGAAGTGGTGCCAGAGTCAGAACAGAGACAAGGGGACTTCCCTGGTGGTCCAGTGGTTAAGAATCTGCCTTCCAATGCAGGGGACATGGGTTTGATCCCTGGTTGGGGAACTAAGATCCCGCAAGCTGTGGGGCAACTAAACCTGTGTGCCACAACTAGAGATGCTGTGCCTTACAATGGAGATCCAGCACAACCACAAAAGAACAGGGACAGGAAGTTGGGGCTGGACTCCTGGCCCTCCCAGTTGCTCAGCTGGAACAGAGTGAAATTTGCACACTCCCAGCCCATGCCCGGCACATAACTGGTCTTTAGGGAAACTGGTACTGCCGCCTCTAATTGGCTCCCTGGTTAGTGGGCTACACTCCATGGGTGCAGATGATCACACCATCTACACGCATCTCATGCCTGTGCTTCTGCAAGTGTTCTTTGCTACAGACAAACTCATTGTTTCCCTTCTTGGTGGCCCTACCCACCTTCATCACATTGTTCCCCCAACTTACAATGTTATCTGCCTCTTCCAACCTTACCACTTCTCTAAACATCCAAATTCTTTCAAGACCTGTATTAAAGGCCACTTGCTATGCAAAACTGCACCAGCTAGCTGGACCCCATTGCTTCCTCCCCAGATCTGTGTGTCTCAGGACACATTCCATCCTGCTTGCATGAGGATTCTTTGCAGGTGTGTTTTGTCGCTGGACCAGACTGGAAGCTCTTTGGGGAAGGGGGCATGTCTCACTGTTTCCTCAGTGCTGGCCCCACGCTGAGGTACCCTGGTCAATGAATGCGGGGGGTGACTGAGTAAAGGAGGGATGCTGGGAGCATGGACGGAGGGAGGACATGGATGGATGCATAGAGGAGGGCTGGGCAGAGATGGATGACCACTCAAACCCTGCAGCAGAGCCATCCCTAGCCTTGCCAATGGCAATGGGATTTCAGCCAGCAAGTCCCCAGGTGAATAACCTCAGGGTTTTTGCTCCTCCACGTCCTGCCCACATCATAAAATTGCAAGCGCTTCCTCTTCAGGGGTGGGAAGGAGAAGTGGGGTGACTTTGGGGCTGAGCCTCAGCATCCAGGAGGGTTTATAAGCTGAGGCACCAGGCCCCTCAGCACCACAGCCCTTCCTTCTCATCCTCTGCTCCTGAGGCTCCAGCTCTTCGGCAGCATGGCCTTCACCGGCAAGTATGAGATTGAGAGCGAGAAGAACTACGATGATTTCATGAAGCGCCTGGGTGAGTGAGCTCCTGAGAGCACCTTCCTGGGGCTGGGCTGTCACAGCCAGCTCTGCACAGGGAACCCAAAATCCATGAGACTCAGAGAAGCTGAGTGACTAGTGTAAGGTCACAAAGCTAGTAATGGGTGAGATGCAGAGTTGATTGGTTTATTCATTCAAACATCAGTTGAATGCTTGCTATATGCACGGGCCAACCTAATGTTACTGATGGGGCATTTCAGCAAGACCTGCCCAAGGTCACACATCAGTGCCAGAGGTCATGAGACCCCCCCAGGAGCCAAGGATGAGATGACGAGTGATGTCACCACATCCTGCCTGGGGAGAGGTGACAAAGGGGTGGGAACATAGACACCAGGGTTGACAAGCTACTCGTTCACTCCATCGTTCAGCAAACAAGGGCCTCTTACAGTGATAGGCACCGTGGGTGGAGATCAAACACCCCACTCTTCTGACTGCTCGATTTGTAACACTGGTTGAGAGGAACCAGAGACAGTGGACTTGACGATCCTGCAGAAATCTTGGTGTGTTAGCCAAGTGTGAGGCAGTGCAGCTGTCTATATTCAGAGGACCATAGGGGACCAGGGCCCGACCTGGGCCAGGGAGGAAAGGGGCCCCAAGAGCAGGGGCCTGGGGCCATGAGGAGGAAAGAGCCCTTCTGAGTCAAGCACTGGGACTGGCCCTGAAGGAACAGTGACCTAGCTTCACCTACAACAGTCTAGTTGCAGGAATCATATCTGTAAAACAGGAGCATTAGAAGATAGTCTTGCAGGTCTCATTCATTTTAGGACTTTGTGAACTTGGGAAATTTTGAGCATACTATTTTCTACTATACTACTTTCTAGTAGTATAGTAGTAAATTTCTAGTATAGTATAGAAGGGCAGCTATTATTGTCAACTCCATGCCAGGAGTTTTACCAGACACAATCACTGTCATTTAATCCCTGTAACAGTGCTATGAAATGGGCCTTATTATCCCCAGTTTGCAGATGAAAACACTGAGCCTTGGAGAGAGAGTAACTTGCCCAAACCACATGGCCCATCCAGAACTGGGGCTTGTGCTCTTGACTGTCAAACTAACCTGCTCTGGGTGAAGCAAGCGCATGCCCAAAGCCACAGGTTGTAGGCAGCTCTTACACCGCCTCTCTGCTTATTCCCGGGCCCAGGGCTCTCCGGCGACACGATTGAAAAGGGCCGCAATTTCAAGGTCGTCTCGGAGATACAGCAGGACGGGCAGAACTTCACCTGGTCCCAGCACTACCCCGGGGGCCACTCCATTTCCAACAGTTTCACCGTTGGCAAGGAGACCGAGATGGAGACCGTGGGAAACAAGAAGTTCAAGGTGAGAGCCTGCTAGCTACCCCTCCCTCGTCCCCAGGCCTCTGGCTGACTTCTTGGTCCCCACCATGTCCCCTGGGGCTGCTCCCCGAGCTGGGGCTTCTTCTCAAGTCTCTGTGTGCGTGCTAAGTCGCTTCAGTCGCATCCAACTATTTTGTGACCCCATGGACTATAGCCTGCCAGGCTCCTCTGTCCACGGGAGTCTCCAGGCAAGAACACTGGAGTGGGTTGTAATGCCCTCCTCCAGGGGATCTTCCTGACCCAGGGATCAAATCCAGGTCTCCTGTGTCTCCTACATTGGCAGGTGGGTTCTTTACCACTAGCGCCATGGGGGATGCCCTTCTTCTCAAGTCTAGCCTACAGTGTTAAGAGCTTGAGTTACTTGGCAATTTAGCCATTCTTGGTTTTTAATGATACATCAATGATGGACACAATAATGATAAAAATTGTTTCCATCTGCCGAATCCTTCACACATATATCCCAGACACTAGCTGGATCTGTCACACATCTTAATGCAGGTAAGCCCGTGAGGTTGCTATAACTACCGCCCCACTTTACAGATGGGGGAGTTGGGCTGAGTCATGTGATTAAATAGCTGCCTGGATCCCACAGCAAGGCTGGGCCTGCACACCCAGGCAGTCTGACTTCTGAGAGTATAACCACATTTTTATGCTGCCTGTAGTGTGACCTAGAGATTAATCTTGCCCAGGCCCTAGAACCAGACTCATCTGGGTTTGAAACTGCAATCATGGGTAGCAAAGAAGTGAAAGTTGGCTGTTTATCCCCTTCCTACCCAGAATGGCCCCTCAGGTCTTCCACCCATCCCAGGTCCCCTCTGTAGCCCCCAACCCTGACCAAGAAAGTACTCTGCTCCTCAGATTGCTGGGGGGAGGGGGTCGAGGGGAGGATAAGCAGTCATAATATTGATATTCTGCCACTTGGGTATTTTAAAAATTTAACAACTTCTCACAGTATCTTTCAGTGTCAGCACATACTGACTTGCCTTATTCTTTTCTTAATGGTGGTATAGTGTCCAACAGTATAGAAATGCTAGTCACCGTTCCCTCATTAATAGATATTTAGGCTATTTACCAGCAGATAACATAAGTTGAATATTTAGGTCGTTCACTGTTACAATGCTGCAATCAACACCCTCAGATGACATCAGCATCGCTTAATAACGATGATCATAACAGATTCTGTAGCTAACAAGGAGTGCTCAGCGGGGAGCCAGGCACTGCTCTAAGCACATATATCATGTGTGACTGCTCAGTCACGCCTGACTCTTGTAGGGAATCTGCCCTAGAAGGATCGAACCCTCACCTTCTGTATTGGCAGGCAGGTTCTTTGCTTCTTCACTGAACCACCTGGGAACCCCACATATATGATACTAAATCATTTAAACTTCACAGTAACCCCATGGAGTAGGTACAAGTACTATCCCCATTACAGAGATGAGAAAACACAGCACAGGAAGGTCCAGTGACTTGCACAGATTATCTGTATCTTTGGATGTATGTAATCACATGTCTCTGTTGTTGTGGTTCAGTTGCTCAGTCGTGTCCAACTCTTTGCGATCCCATGGATGGCAGCATCACGTGTCTATAGGACAAATTAATTCCTAGAGGGGGACTGCTGGGCCTGGAGGCAGGTCCGCTCATCCCCGAGAGCTGGCCTGCATTTGTGGGGGCTCTGCAACTCAGGCTGCCTTTTGCTTCTCTTTCAGGTCTCCGTGAAGATGGAGGGTGGGAAGGTGGTTGTGGACTCCCCCCACTACCACCACACTGCGGAGATTGTGGATGGCAAGCTGGTGGAGGTAAGTGTCCTGCTGGTTCCAACATAATATACAGAATGTTCTGCCCTGAGAGGCAGGCCTCTGGGAAGCAGGTTTTACAGGTATGCCCTGTGGGCTGGGCTCTGTGCTGATCACTGGATGCACACGACTTCATCTGACCTTCACAATCCCCCTGTTAGATAAGGATTTTTATCCCCATCTTGCAGGTGAGGAGACTGAGGTATGAGGAGACAGGGTGACTAAGAGATTGGCCAGAGGGCACAGAGGTTTTTTGACAGAGCAGGAATTTGGTGTTAGGTGCCAGACTCCAGTGCCCGCACTCAGCCACCTCAGGGGCACAAGTCTGGACTTCCCTGAGTGTAGATGAAGCAGGGAGTCCTGGAGGGCCCTGCAAGCAGTTGCCACCCCCTCGCTTCCATGAGGGACTTCAGGCCCTTACTGCTGTATCTTCTGGTGTATCAAGAGAAGCTGAATATTGGCACTTTTAAGTGAAATTTCCAGACTAGCCACTACTGGCAACTAATCAAAAGATTTTTTAAAAATGTTGGTGGGGCCAATTCACCCACCTGTGGACTGAGCCCTCCCACAGGCCATTTCCTCCTCCAAGGGATCACCCTGACCCAGGGATTGAACCCTTGTCTCCGCATCTCCTGCATTGGCAGGCGGGTTCTCAGTAAACACAGGTTGGGGGTGCTCCCTCTCCCAGCCAGCTCTTCCCCCGGGGGCTCCAGAGTTTCCCTGGGTGAAGGAAATGGATGTGAGGTGAAGAGAAAAAAGGAAGATGCTTCTACATGTCAGTCATTTCCCCCTCGTGAGCCTACGTCTTGGGCTAGAGTTCCCCCCAGGAGGGGTCTGGTCTGTCCTCCCCAAGCATCTCCAGGAAGAAGTGTTGAGGGAGGCAGGGTTTGCCACCCTTATTCCTATCTTGCAATCTCTTCCCTGTTTCCTTGTTTCCCTCACCCAAGTCCAGTCTAGAGAAAAGCAGCACATGGCTCAGGAGGCTCAATGCCCTCACATTACTCCCATTTTACAGAGAAGCCATGGAAGCTCACAGACATAGGCAACTTGCCCAGGGCCACACAGCTAGTCTGTGGGGGAGGCAGATGAAATTGGCTGATTTCTAAACTGCCTGCTCTTCCCAGGCCATGGGTCTTCTTTCCCTCCCTTCATTTTAGTTTAAAAAAAATCTATAGTGTATTAAAATAGGTCTGTGTACATGTATGTATACCCACATATACATACATATATATGGCATAGGCTTCCCCAAAGGCTCAGCAGTAAAGAATCCTCCTGCCAGTGTAGCAGATGAGTTTGATCCCTGGGTTGGAAGATCCCCTGGAGAAGGAAATGGCAAGCCACTCCAGTATTCTTGCCTGGAGAATCCCATGGACAGAGGAGCCTCGCGGGCTACAGTCCACGGAGTTGCAAAGAGTCAGACACGACTGAGCCTCTAAGCACAAGCATGAGCATTGTTTTCTGGATGGAAACTGACCTCTTGGAGAATCCGATGAAAGCTGGAGGACACTGACTCCCAGAGGCAAAGCACCCCAGCCTGTGACGGGGGCAGGGAGAATCCAGGGCGGAATGAAGCACATTTGTGCCCGACAGGAGAACTCATCTTCCCAAAAGAAACAAATCTGTTTCCTAATTCCTGGGGGCACCTGACCATGAAGCCTGTACAGTGTGAGCAGTGCCCAGAGTTCATGGCCATTACACGCACACACATGCACACAGGCACAGGAATGCACACACACATGCATATGCACAGACTAGGTACCAGAGAGAAGCTGTCTTGGCTGCATATTTCCTCCCATCTCTGGAGGCCCAGAATCATTCTAGACATCTTCCTCCTTCTCCACCCACAGGGATGCATTTTTTGAGCATCCCTCTTCCCACTTCCACCCACCACCAGCACCCCTTCTCTCATCACTTCTCCTCTAGACAGAGCCCTGGCCTCCTCCTCCACTCCATCCTCCATCCACCCCATATGCAAATCACACATCACTTTACTGCTGCCCTTAGACAAAACTGCTCCACAAAATTCCATTTGCCACCTGTCCCCTCCCACAAGAAAGCAGCTCTCCTCTGCTGGGCATCAGGACCAACTGGTAGTACATGTATACCCCATGACAGCATGTCTTGGTCTTGAGCCCAGGGTACTGCACACAGCGGGTCTCTGCTGAACACCATCCTCTTTTCAGCCTCTTCCACAAAACCTTCCGCTTCCCAAGGGCAGAGATTGTATCTCCCCATCACTGAGCACAGGGACCCCTTAAATGCTCAATGGTGTAGAGCGTGAACATGGCTTTCCTCCTTAGGGGGGTGACTGACTTCTCTAACCTTTAGTTTTCTCATTTGCACAATGGGGCAAGCTCACTGTTGGGGGAAATGTAACTGGCATGGGTGAAATGAAATGGATAGATGAGTGGAAGGTTATCCCAAGGAAAGTCACATCATGACAACATGTGAGCACTTGGGCCACGTAAAAGTGAACAGAGTGAGCCTTGCAACAAACTAGGAACCAGAGGCCCAGAGAAGCGTTGCCACAGGCTCACTCCCATCAGGGCGGGGACTAGAGGCCAGTCTACCTTCCCTGGGCCCCATGGTCACCTTGGGATCCTTGCACTGACTCCCTCTGTTCCCGCTGTTTCTTCCAGGTCTCCACCTTTGGAGGTGTGATCTATGAGCGCGTGAGCAAGAAGGTGGCCTAAGCTGGCCTGAGCTGGCGGGTAGGGCTCCTCGGGGGCCATAAAGCCGTATCAATAAAGCTGATGTAACAAGACTATCTGCTCGTTCCAGAACCTCTCTTTGTTCTCTAGTGTCTTGGGGCAGTTCTGGCTGGTGGAGATGGGAAGCCCCTGAGGATGGCTGTGCAGGCCACACCTTGGCCCTCAGGTCCCTGTGGGCCCCATGTCACCGCAGAGACTTGGGGTGTGGACAGGTATGGACGTAAGACCCCTGGTCCCAGAGAGAGGGCACAGGCAGTGCTCAAGGTGCATGGTGGGCACATCTCGGTGGTCCCTGCCCCTACCTGCCACCCACACTCAGGGTGGAGGGATCACTCTTTCAAGAGACAAATGTCCCCTGGGAGGGGTGACACTGACTCTCAGATGAGCCACAGGAAAGCGTATCAGAAGCTGGGGCAGGACTGGCGATTCCCTGGAAGGACTCGCCGCTGCTGGGCGCCGAGGCTGCACAGACACTGGGATGGACGTACCAGCCAGGGGCAGTGCTTCAGCGTGACTGGGGCTCTCTGCCAATTCACTGTGGAGTCCTTCCTTTGGGCCTCAGTTTACCCACTGGTACCAGAGAGGGCCAGGAGGGCCAATGAGGGACTGAGGAGAAATGGGAGTCTATGAGATGACAAAGGGGTTATGGGTGTGCCAGGCAGGAACTGAAACGTCATGGATTACACTAGCAGGGCTTGGATGGGGGGCCGGGGAGAAACTTGGAGAGGCTGCAGTGGGATGGGAAAGGGGATCAGAAAGGTCACTCTGACCCTCAGGTAGGTGTCTGGACCCCTGCATTACGGAGGATTCCAGGGCCGCACCTGGACTGAGCAAATGTCCCTGCCTCATCCCGGTGTCTGTCTGGGGCATGGGAGAGGAGGAGGGAGGTCTGCCTGTTCCCTGGATAGATCATCCCTAACCTTGAATGGGATTTTTTCATTCTCTTCTCTCCTCCGTACCACCCTGAGTTCTTCTCTCTTTTGTTTTTTTTTTCTCTCTCTCTCTTTTTTTTTTTAATTGGCTATGCCACACTGCACACAGGATCTTTAGCTCCAGGGGACAAACCCGTGCCCCCTGCAGTGGAAGTGCGGAGTCTTAACCAGTGGACCACCAGAAAAGTGCCCATCCTGACTCCTTTTTACCCCATATTTTTCTCCAAGACAATTAATTTGTTTTTACTCCAAAGGAAACATTGTATCACTTTCATACATGGAAAGCCAACATCATTTGCCATAAATAGATGAAAACTATTTTAAAAAGTCAAAGCTGAACAATATTGACTTTGAGTTGGATTCTGCCCCCACAGCTCTGAGCCTTAGGCCCCACTTTGTCAAAAGGGAAAGAGCCATACAACAGCCAATGGCACCAAACAGGAAACTCTCCTTCCCTCATCACCTGCAGGACTGCATGACAAGAGAATTCTTTAAGAATTGAATTATCTAGGTGTCCATCAGTGGATGAATGGATAAAGATGTTTAAAACACACACACACCCACACACACACACAGAGGAATACTATTCAGCCATAAAAAGAATTAAATCCTGCTGTTTGCAACATGATGGAGCCTGAAGTGAAGTGAAAGTCTCTCAGTTGTGTCCGACTCTTTGAGACCCCATGGACTATACAGTCCATGGAATTCTCCAAGCCAGAACACTGGAGTGGGTAGCCTTTCCCTTCTCCAGGGGATCCTTCCAATCCAGGTTTCCCGCATTGCAGGCGGATTCTTTACTAGCTGAGCCACAAGGGAAGCCCCAAAGCCTGAAGGTATTATATTAAATAAGTCAGATGGAGAAAGACTTTCCTGGTGGTCCATATGATTTCAAAATAAAACAAACTCATAGATACAGAAGCAGATTAGTGGTTACTAGAGAGTCTGGCATACAATAGGTGCTTAACAAGTGCTATGCTACCTGACCTCAGGTACTTGCAGCCTGTGTAATCTACAGGCTTTCACTCTCAGGAGCCGGCCTCAGCCTGGACAGATGGCACAGCCCGGCTCACTGGCAGCTCAGTCCTTGCCTCCTCCCACATTGTGCCCTGAAACATGTTTCTTTCCAAGAACAGCACTCAGCCTCCCCTACCCACCCACCAAGCCAGGACCCTGTGAATTCCAGCACTTTGCCAAGACTTATTGCTAATTAAGTGAACTAGATAAGCATTAAATTAAACTAGCAGTGTTCCTGTTTTCCATCCAGACTGAATAATTACTCATAATGAACTTGGACAATAAGTCTCTAAATAACAGAGAGTTAAATACAACTAGGTGGAAAGCTAAGAGAGAGAGAAGGGATGAGAGAAAGAGTAGAAAAGAAAGTAAGAGCTGCGAGGAGAGTGTTTTTGCTTTGGTAACCGACTCAAGAACAAATTCAAACACTGCAGCCAGTGTTAGAGTCACAGACTCAGAGAACAGAACCTCAGAGCCCAACTAGTTTAAATTCTGTACTTCAGATATGGAAACCAAGGCTCAGAGAGGTGATGAGGTTTATCTAAGGTCACATAGCTGAGCAAGTCTCTTGAGAGAAATGTGGGGCTGGGCATCACTGGCTGATGGAGGCTTCAGTTTCTCATTCCAGTTTATGGGAGTAAGTGGAGGAAGGTGAGATGCGGTGAGGTGTCCATTTTACTGGCATCTTGGAAAAGAAGTTTCCTCAACCAGAAGAATGGACAGAGGTTAAGAGCTCTGACTCTGGAGTCACATTGCCAGGGTTCAAATCTCTCTTCTGCCTCCTAGAAGCTGTGTCACCTTGGGGTAAGTTCATCCATTTCTCTGAGCCTCAGATTTCTCACCTATCAGTGGGGATAAAAACAGCACTTACCTAATAAGAGTTGTCATGCTATGAATTAACTAGCCACTGTGACCATGACCACCATCACCTCCACCATCAGCACCATCATTCTCAAGCCAACGTGATGAAAGTGTTAGGAGTGCCTCCTCCAACTCACATGTTAAGACATGTGGGCATGTTGCAGTGTTTCTCAGTGTCTTGTCCATGTGTAAAACAGGCTAATAAGGCCTTCCCTTCTTGAGTTGTAGAGGCGTTTCAAGGGTAAAAAACCATGCTGTGGCCTCTGGAAAGTTAGATGTGCATCACCATTCTGCTGCATGGTCCAAGATGCCCCTTTACCCTGACCCTTGGGAATCATCGCTATCCCATTTCCCTCCCACCAAGCTCACTTGGTGTTAACAGGAGCTTCTCAAAGTGCCCTTAAAGACCACCACTAGGTGGCGCTCCACCATGCACCCGTGGTCCCAGGGACCCCTGGGTGTGCATGTATGCTGGGGGCGGGACAGGTGGTGGACCAGTGAAATCCTGAGTAATTGGGCCTTGGGGTGGGTGTGCATGTGTCCTCTGGGGGGTTGGCAGGCAATTCAGAGGCCACGTGGCTCCTCAGTCCTGCATATCTAAGTGTGAAACAGTTCACCATTGCCCGTGGTGAGAACTTGGGCCTCTCTGAACCTCAGTATCATCTGGAAAATTGTGATAGTAAATAATGCTAGGTCATGGATGTTGAGAGGACAAAAGAGGAGCGGGGGGTAAGAGAGCATGAGGAAAGTGTCATGTACAGGGCCTGGAACACAGTAAATGCTCACTGAACAGGATCCTTATGGGTGGTTTGACTGGTGGAATGGGCATACAGTGGGTCAGAGATTCTAGAGCAAGAAGACCAAACCCAGATAAGCATACACATTTCCTGGGGGCATATTAAAATGGCAGCCCAGGCCCAAACGCAGACCTACAGAATGGGACACTTCAGGTATGAAGACCAGGGAGCTGTAATTCTTCCAAAGTGCTGTCCAGCTAGGTGTGACCTTGCAGACCATTCCAGTCCCAATCCTCCCATTTTGCAGATGAAAAAACTGAGATCCAGAAAAGGGGACTGACCTGCCTATGTCTTCACAGCCAGGGGGGAGCAGAAGGTCTGACTTCTAGTATATGGTGTCTGCTGTGGCTCTGGCAAGGGCAGAACCTGAAACACTTATTGGAGATGGGCCAGCAGAAGGCTGACTACTTAAGTACCTCTCCCTTAAAAATTAAAGCTGGGCTAAAGGGAGATGAAGCTCTGGGGCTCATCTGAGCACCACCCCCTAAAAAGGAGTGGTCCACTTTTGAGTCCTCAAAGGATGCACTGTTGGATAATGATTCCATATATTCCATGCTTTCTTGTCATAAATCTAAAATGCAGCCCAACCTGACAACCTTCCCACCTTTATAGATGAGACAGAAGTTCAGAGGAGAGAGGAAGCTCTTCTCAAGATCACCTAGCTAAAGGCAGGCAAACTCAGATCTTCCACCTCTTAGGTCAATGCTCTTGTCTACACACCAGAAGTTGCAAGTTTCTAGGCTAAGAATCTCCCTAACCTACAATATGTTTCATTGGTCTTCTATTACATTACAATTTTTTAGGTAGTTTTTAAAATTACAAATAATTAGATTTCCTAGAAAGTGTAGACTTCCAGATTCTCTGAAAATCTGAAGTTGTGGCAACATACAGCTTATATCCCTGAAAGGCTGTAGTTAGTCAGCGCTGAACAGAAGCCAACCATATCCCTTACACGGGAACACAAGCTTCATTAGTCTCCACCATCTCACACTGTCTCAGTCATCCAGCTGATCCACTATGTTACCTGTCTGGTCCTGATGGGCCGTTGGATTTGGCACTCCTGCTAAAGGCTGTGGCCTTTCTACTGAAATTTGTCCCAAGGGGCTTCCCTGAGGAACAGAGAATGAGATTAATGAGGTTGCTAAGATTCTTTCACTGGAACTCAAAAAGAGCCAGGTATTGCCAGAGCCAGCCCAGAGGCAGGGTCCCTCCCAGGGGATGCCCCAAGCAGGGTCTCAGATCTTTACCTTCACAGACGAGGCTGGGGGATCCCCTCCCAGGTCAGAGCCTGTTGGAGGCAGGCAGATGGAGCTATAAATTGTATTAGCCTGCAGCAGTTGTGCAAAACCATTTCTGTCTGCTACTGAGCATGCTCCAAGAACCCCCTGGGACCCTGTTAATCAGGAGCACAAATGCCTGGCAACCCTGTTACAAACCCATATCCATTACTCTGCCGTGACTTCTCCAGCAGGTGAGCGGGATGGCCAGCGGGAGCCCTGCACTCACCCAAAACCCCTGAGGCACCTCAGGGTGGCAGGGCAGCTCCAGGCTGCCCGAGTTTGAATTATGGCTCCTTCCTTCACCTGACCTTAGGCGAAGAACTCCTCTGTGCCTGTTTTCTGGTCTGTAAGATAACAGCTGATAGTAGTTCCTACTTTGGAGGCTTATTAGGACGATTATAGGAAATAATATGAATGAATTCCTTAGCATAGTGCTTTACACAGCAAATAATAAACGCCAGTTGGGTGATGAGCACTACCATCTACAAGTATCTATATATTCTATTGGCTGGAGGTGGTTTAGGGCACAGCCATCAAACTCAGTAAGCTAATAAGATGATTCCAGATGATTTAACAGCTATGATGAAAATGAAAGGGGTAATGAAAGGGACCTGGGGGACGATGGAGACCTCATCGGAAGGTGTTCTGTGGGCTGAGGTTTTTCAACCATGGCACTGTTGTCATTTTGGGCCAGTCCGTTTTTAACTGTGGGGACTGTCCTGTGCATTGCAGGATGTTTAGCAGCATCCTAGATTCTACCTGCTAAACGCCAACCATGCCCCTCTCCCAATTGTGACCACCAAAAATATCTCCAGACGTTGCCAAAGTCCCCTGGAGGGCAAAAATGAGCCCTGCTGACAATCACTGTTTAAGGGGTTAATAGAGAGGAGTGTTCAGATGACAGAACAGATGGCTTTGGAGAGATGGATTTTGAACCTAGAGGGCATGAGGAAGTGGAACCTTAGCTCTGATCCTAATGCAGGCATTCGCAATGTTTGGCCAATTCCCTTAGAATAAATCACTCTCACTACATATACAATGGGCTCTGTTTTCCTGGAGCACCCTACCTGATTCAGTGGTGGTGCTGGGCTGACTCTTGCAGCCCAGCCCAGGTCCCAGGGAAGCATAGCTCCAGCTCAGAGGGCAGGAGCTCATCTTGCTGTCACCCACTCCTCCCCGACAACCTTGGGGTACCAGTGTGGATCCCTGGGGCTGACGAGGAAGAGAAAGGGAGGAGTGGCTGAGAGAAGGCCAGGAAGAGAACGCAAAGAGGCCACAAGCAGGTGATGTATTTATTGCAGGTCCACTTTTTCTCAGGGATGGGTTGGTTGTGAGGCTCTATTTGGGGGGAGACCCTCACAAATGCCCAGACTCAGAAAAGACAGACACAGTAACTCGGAATCCAAACCAGCTGCACATAAATAGAAGGAGGCTGGCAAGGAAAAAGAGAAAACAAACGAACGTGCACTTTCCTATGCTAGTGTGACAACGTGACCCCTCCGTGCCTGTGTCCCGGCTCTTCTTTCACTCAGCTTCCGTGCTGAGGCTCCCATCAGCTCTGAAAACCACCTTCGGATCTGACTTCTGGCAGTCCCTTTGCCAGTCTCCTAGACTGGCAACCAAGTCAAGAAAACCAAAATGGGTTCTTCTTTAAGAAACAAACCAAAATACGCTTCCATGGTTCTTTGCACCTCCCAGTCCCAGGGGAGGAACAATTTGACCACTGACCCCAAACCAACCAAGGAATAAAATATGCGAGCACAAGCCGTGAGTCAGAATAAAAACATATTGCACATGGTTCCAAGAGTCTTCCTGAGAGCCCTCTCACTGTAGAGACCCAAATACTGGCTTTTGATCCAAGCCATTGCTGGCTGTCAGTGGTGTCACAGACCCCACACGCCCCCAAATCCAGCTGGCGTCAGGCATACATTCCACATTATGATCCTTTGCTCTGAGCCAAATGCAAGGCCGAGGCTGGATTTAACCTCATGCACTAGAAGCATGCGGTGGAGGGAGGGAGGTGGGGGTTGCTGGTGTTAAATTTTTGTCTACTTTTCAACAGTCCTTTTTCTCTGGGTGGTTATCGACATTCTACATATGAACAGAGCATCCAAGATGTGGAATCTTCTGGAACCGAGAGCCTGGAAAGTGGTTCTCCCCAACCACACACTTTTGCAAAAGGGAGCTCTGTGGTTAACCAGGGGTCCATCCCAAGCTGGGTTAAAACCTACAGCCCACTCATGGGACAGGCAGTGTAGCAATCACCAACGTTTTTCTCCTAAGGAATTTTCAAGTATCACAAAATCCCTGATATAGCATGTAAACAAGACATCTTACTGAACAGAAAGCTAGGTCACTTGGGGAAGCAGCAACACGTGAAACATGTAAAAGGCTGAAGAAGGTTTTAGGTTCCACAACAAATCAAGACAGCTGTCACTGTGTCTCGGGAGGCAGACGCACAACCAGGCCCTGTGGATGGAGCCAGATGGCATCTACTGGGGTTCCTGAGAGCACGTCAGGCCACCCCCTTTTCAATTGTGTAGCTGCCATCAGCAAAGAATAAAGGCGTCTTCGATGCTAAAACCTGGAGCTGCTCGTGGACTGCAGGCCTGCATCCAGTCTCCGGCCTCCTGGCCTCTTCCCAAGTCTTCCTGGACCCACTGGGCCCCTCTCCAGAAGGTGGCCACTGAGCCACCCTCCTGGACCCTAGCCACAAGTGGAAGACATTTTTCCAGAGGAATGCTCTCGGGTGAGGTATGTCATTGCCTGTTTTGCTCCGGGTCAGTTTTATTTAAAAAGACCACAGACCCGCTCTGTTCACGGGCCCTGAGGCTCTCTGTGGGGGTGGCCTCTCCCAGGTGCCTCCCTGGGCTGGGCTCCCCTGGTCTGCATCCTCTTCCTCTGCCCGGGTCTCCAAGGCCTCCCTGTGTGGCTAAAGGTGCCCTATCTATCAAAACAGCCTGCGGGGAACGCATGAGCCCCACTGAAGTAGCTGCTCCCATAGGTGGTGGCGAGGCAGTGCCGGGGCTCGGCTGCGATGGCCATCTGCATGCTGAAGGACGCGGGCAGCGGCACAGAACACACGTCCAGGGGCTGGAGGGCGGGGTACAGGGCGTGGAGGGACGGGCTGGTGCCCCCTGAGAGCAAGGTCCCCGAGCGGTGGGCTTGCAGCGAGTCCCGATAGGCCAAGCACAGGTCCTGCACAGGGGTCTGGAACTGGGCCAGTGCCGTCGCTGTCGGCTGGCTGAGGCCCGGGTAGGCAGGTGGCTGGAACAGCACCTGGGTGGGTGAGCCGGGCACCATTGCCAAGGCCTGGCTCTTGACAGCAACGGCATCCTTGAGGACGTTGTCGTAAGCTCTGAAAGGAAAGGACTGGGTGAGATTTGGGAGGCCAGAGGCTGCAGCGCCAGTCACCTGCCTTGCTGACTGGGACGCGAGGAGACCCGTGTCCTGCAGGCCTCTCCTGTCTGTGCTCACTGCCTCAGCTGATCTCTGACTAAACCCAGGCTCCAGATCTTAGCTTGGATCTGCTTCCCACAAAAGCCCGGCAACCCTCAAGACTAACCCAGCTGTTCATGTAGACCCTCTGCACTGCCCCCACTTGGCGGTCAACACTGCAGACGATAACTTCTGGGTCACTGCGTGGCCCCGGGTGTGGAGCTGAAGCTTCGAGAGGGAGGGCCCGCCTGCTTTTGCTCATCACCGCATCCCCACACAGGGCACAGGAACTGCCCCCTGCTGCTTAGCTGAGCAGCCCTTCTACCTTCAAGACACTTTTGGTCAGCTTCATCCCTAGCTGGGATGGAGTTATGAGACTTAGCAGATTTCAAACAGGTTGCCCCCAGGGGCCTGTCTCCATCTGAAAAGCAGGATAGAACAGGTTTTTTTCCATCTCAAAAAAAAAAAAAAAAAGCTTCCCATAATAAATTTGTTTTGAGGAAACAATTAGAGGCTTTGGTAAGAAAGAGGCAAGTGAAGCTGTAGCAGGTCTGAGCAGAGGGCTATCCCAGAGCATTGGGGAAGAGGCAGAGCTCGTGGCTAAGTATCTGGGGCACTTATCCTCATTCAGGCCAGACCATATTCTCCAGCTTTCAAAAGGGAGAGATTTTAAAATCAGGGCTAGGGAGCATGACTGATTTCAGAGGATTGAGACTAAGGCAGCTGTACCAGGAGGGTGAGAGATGGCTCTTCAGAGCCATGGCCCCGAAGTGAGTGGGACCAGCACGCAGGAGATGCTGCCAGCTGTTGGATGCAAGAGAGACCAAGTGCAGCCAGGTGAGAGCTTTCTGTCCTCTCTGTCCTCCTCCCTGCAGTCACTACTCTTTGGCCTCCAATATCAGTTTTAGGGTGCTGTGTCTTTAAGCATCCTCTCTGAAACCCTGAACACTTCCTCCCCAAGATTCCTAGGCTATGGTCTCTTCAGCAAAGTCACTCTGGGCTAAGCAGGCTAAGAGTTCACTTTGTGACCATGTCTGAGTAAAGCAACTCATAATGAGGGTCTCTCCATGTGATCACCCAGAAGACTGACTGATACACTGGGTCAAAGAGCCCAGACACTCAGAAAAATGTGCAGTGAGACCCTCTTCTCCTGCACTCTTGACCTGACAATTGCAAACCCAAAGACACCTAAAATAGGAAGGACTAACTCCCCAAATCTGTGTTCTATCAGGAGTCATGGTGGTTCCCTTTCTGTGAGCCACCAGGACACCATAAGCTTCAAACTGCAGGAAATCACCTGAGGTGGGCCTTACGAGCAAGTGGAACTTGGCTATTTCAGAAACACGAAAGGATCAGGAGAGGAACTTACACCAGCAGGATTTCGATGCATGTGCTGAGATGTTCCAGGGAGTAGTTTGAGATCCTCTGCAGGTCTCTGGTCCAATAGGGAGAAAGCTGAAGGCAAATCCTAGAGGCCCCAACGCAGGCTGCAGCCACCACGGAAGGCTGGAATTTGTAGAAAATATGATCTGAAAGAGAATCACAGAGAGAGAGTCACCATCAGAAGACTGGCCTTGAAGCTCTGCCTTGTGCTCCCTGGGAACTGGGAGACAAATGATTAGGTCCAAGGTTGTTCACCATACATGCAGTGCAGAGGGTCTACATGAAAAATTAAAATAGCATGAATTTTCATTCTTAAAACACCTCAGCTCTTGGGCTGGGATTTCGGATGTCAGCCTAGAGCAGCGATTGTCAAAATACATCCCTGGCTTTCAGGGGATGCAATGGACTTGCTGATGCTACAAGGAGAAACACTAAACATCTGTCCTTCCTTTGAAAGACAGTGGTAAACACACACCATTTCAAAAACTTCTGTTTGGGGTGCTGACTGAAGGCTATTTAGTAATGAAGCCTGGCCCAAAACAGGAAATCACTAAAAATCTGCTGAAGAACGAACAAATAAATGAATGTCTGTAAGTATTTGATATTCAAAAATTTACTGGGTAATCTTCCCCTCACCCACCCCAGATTTATTGACAAACAACTGAAAAATACTATATATTTATGATGTATAGTGTGATGTTTGGGTACAAGTAAACACTGTGAAATAATATAAGAAATCTTCATGTCCTACTAAGGTATCTAGCAACCTGGCAAAGCTGGTACTAATGTGTGCAAAGGCAAACTGCTCAAATTCCCACAATTCTCATGAAGAACAGCTGGTTATCCGCACATTACTTTGCTGTCTTAAACTGTTCATGACTTTCAATGATTTCAACATTGGCCCCGTAAAGTATGAATTAGGCAGGGTGGTATGGTTATAAGCACAGTCAGAGTCAGACTCCCCAGGTTCAAATCCTAGCAATGACCTTAGGATAAGTTACTTCACAACTTGAGTATCAATTAGGGAAACTGATTTGTAAAATGAGGATAGCAGAAATGATCTTCATGTGAAGTTGCTGTGAGGTTCAAATTAAACAATACATGCAGAGCACTAAAATAAGATGCCTCGTGTACAGTAAGTGCCCACTTACTGCTTAATATCACAACTGTTGATATTGTTACTCATAACCATTTTGGCTTGGAGTGGGTTATCAGGTGGTTAAATCAACAGTGTTTCTGACCTAGTGTTGCACCTAATACTTAAATCTTAATACCCAGATCTTAAGACAATTTAAGTAAAAGTCTCCAAATGGTAAAAAGTGTATTGCTAAAGCAGATGGAAACAAAATCCTCTCTCCCATCCTACCTGTACGATACTCTTTCTACTTTTTCAAGGCAGATACCTACCTTGACTCTGTGCTACTTAGATCATTTGCAGTGTTCCAAGTGAGTTAAAAACTACCAGGTAGGTGATCAGTAAATAGACAGACTACAGGTTGCCTGCATACAAGCTATTCCTCCATTAACTGGCCTTGAAGCTCTGCCTTGTGCTCCCTGGGAACTGGGAGACAAATGATTAGGTCCAAGGTTGTTCACCATACATGCAGTGCAGAGGGTCTACATGAAAAATTAAAATAGCATGAATTTTCATTCTTAAAACACCTCAGCTCTTGGGCTGGGATTTCGGATGTCAGCCTAGAGCAGCGATTGTCAAAATACATCCCTGGCTTTCAGGGGATGCAATGGACTTGCTGATGCTACAAGGAGAAACACTAAACATCTGTCCTTCCTTTGAAAGACAGTGGTAAACACACACCATTTCAAAAACTTCTGTTTGGGGTGCTGACTGAAGGCTATTTAGTAATGAAGCCTGGCCCAAAACAGGAAATCACTAAAAATCTGCTGAAGAACGAACAAATAAATGAATGTCTGTAAGTATTTGATATTCAAAAATTTACTGGGTAATCTTCCCCTCACCCACCCCAGATTTATTGACAAACAACTGAAAAATACTATATATTTATGATGTATAGTGTGATGTTTGGGTACAAGTAAACACTGTGAAATAATATAAGAAATCTTCATGTCCTACTAAGGTATCTAGCAACCTGGCAAAGCTGGTACTAATATGTGCAAAGGCAAACTGCTCAAATTCCCACAATTCTCATGAAGAACAGCTGGTTATCCGCACATTACTTTGCTGTCTTAAACTGTTCATGACTTTCAATGATTTCAACATTGGCCCCGTAAAGTATGAATTAGGCAGGGTGGTATGGTTATAAGCACAGTCAGAGTCAGACTCCCCAGGTTCAAATCCTAGCAATGACCTTAGGATAAGTTACTTCACAACTTGAGTATCAATTAGGGAAACTGATTTGTAAAATGAGGATAGCAGAAATGATCTTCATGTGAAGTTGCTGTGAGGTTCAAATTAAACAATACATGCAGAGCACTAAAATAAGATGCCTCGTGTACAGTAAGTGCCCACTTACTGCTTAATATCACAACTGTTGATATTGTTACTCATAACCATTTTGGCTTGGAGTGGGTTATCAGGTGGTTAAATCAACAGTGTTTCTGACCTAGTGTTGCACCTAATACTTAAATCTTAATACCCAGATCTTAAGACAATTTAAGTAAAAGTCTCCAAATGGTAAGAAGTGTATTGCTAAAGCAGATGGAAACAAAATCCTCTCTCCCATCCTACCTGTACGAAACTCTTTCTACTTTTTCAAGGCAGATACCTACCTTGACTCTGTGCTACTTAGATCATTTGCAGTGTTCCAAGTGAGTTAAAAACTACCAGGTAGGTGATCAGTAAATAGACAGACTACAGGTTGCCTGCATACAAGCTATTCCTCCATTACACATTATTGCTAACTCATTCCATCTCTGCTTACCCCTGCAAATCTGTCTCTGCCTATCCCTGCGAAGTGGGGTGATCTGGTGATGTGGGTGCATTGGCCCCCAACCCTGGCCCCCATGTGGGTGGGGAAGGGTGGGCAGGCCTTGACATTGGTCCCACCTTGCAGGGTGACCTCCAGGAAGTAGTGGGCGTACTCCTTGAGGCACTCTTTGGTCTTGCGGGGGCAGGTGGTGGGCCAGCTGTGGCAGTGGTGGTCCTTCTGGCTGACGGAGGCTAAGAGGTAGTAGTCGAGGAAGTGGGCAGGCGTAGGCAGGCAGAGGTTCCAGCCAAAGGCCTCCAGCAGCAGCAGCTCCGTACTCAGCAGCTCCTTCCTGGTGAGGGAGAAGTTTTGGCTGCTCAGGATCCTGGTGCTGTTTATCTGCTCCAGCTTGGGGACGTGGTCTTCCCGATCCTCGAATTTACCTAAGGGAGAAGCAGAGATTACGTGAGACAGCCAGCACCTGCTGTAAAGGCCCTCTTATGGTACTCAGATGGTGCTGGCAAGAAGAAGAGCAAGCCCAAAGGCACATATTACAGATCTATCACATTTGAGCTCGAATCCCTACGCCATCACTTCCAGTTGTGTGATCATGGAAACATATCTCACCCTCTCTGTGCCTCAGTTCTCTCCTATGTACAATGGAACTTCTACCTCTTAAAGCTTTTGTTAGATTCAATGAGATAACACACACCAAATGTATAGACCAGTGTGTGGATCACAGAAGATGCTCAACAGCAGTTAGCAATAGCAGCAAGGGCCTGGGCCCTCCTGTCTGGTCTATACTAATTCAACATCAGGACTGGTCAGGGGGCCATAGTCACGGTAACCTTGTAAACCTGGCCTGTCCTTGCAGATGTGGAAGAGCCCTTCAGTGGCTCCCTAGTACCTTCAATACTGAGCTTAAACTCTGTCAAAAGTTTCTGAGTTTGGATTCCCTTAGAAACAGTTTTCTTGGGAGGTGAGCCGAGGGAAGATCTATAAGTAGTAGAGAGGGACGAAAGCCAAGGGGGCATTTTTATCTTGAAGAGGTATCTGCACCCCATGTTCACTGCAGCATTATTCACAAGAGCCAAGAAAGCCTAAGTGTCCAACTGACAGATGAATGAATAAAGAGGCTAGTTATTTATATACAATGGGTCCCATCATTTCACAGCAAGTAGAAAGGGGAAAAGTGGAAATAGTGACAGACTTTATTTTCTTGGGCTCCAAAATTACTATGGATGGTGCCTGCAGCCATGAATTTAAAAGACACCTGCTCCCTGGAAGGAAAGCTATGAAAAACCTAGACAGCATATTGAAAAGGAGAGACATTACTTTGCCCACAAAGGTCTGTATAGTCAAAGCTATGGTTTTTCCAGCAGTCATGTACGGATGTGAGAGTTGGATCATAAAGATGGCTGAGAGCCTAAGAATTGATGCTTTCAAACTATTGTGCTGAAGACACTTGAGAGTCCCTTGGACTGCAAGGAGATCAAACCAGTCAACTCTAAGAGAAATCAACCCTGAGTACTCACTGGAAGGACTGATGTTAAAGATCAAACTCCAATATTCGGCTGCTTGATGCGAAGAGCCAACTCACTGGAAAAGACCCTGATGCTGAGAAAGATTGAAGGCAGGAGAAGAGAGGGGAACAGAGGATGGTTGGATGGCATCATCAACTCAATGGACACGAATTTGAGCAAGCTCTGGGAGATGGTGAAGGACAGGGAAGCCTGGCGTGCTGCAGTCTGTGGGGTCACAAAGAGTCGGATATGACTGAGCAACTGAACAACATATTTGTTGTTGCCATGTCTGACTCTTTGCAACCCCATGGACTGCAGCATGCCAGGCTTCCCTGTCCTTCACTATCTCCTGGAGCTTAATGGGATATTATTCAGCCATAAAAAGAAGAAAATCCTGCCATTTGGGACAACATGGATGGACCTTGAGGACATTATATTAAGTGAGTAATGAGACAGACAGACAACTACTATATGATATTGTTACCAAAGATCACCAAGTCTGTGTGCCCGATACATAGTAAAGCCAAACAATACTAAAACACTGGAATTTGGAACAGAGAAAGTTTTATTATAGGGACATGAAAGGAGATGAGTGATTCATACCTTAAGAACCCCAAAGTTACTGAAAGCTTTCAGCAAAGCCATTTTAAAAGTAAAAAATGAGGGAGGGGCATGGTTACTTGTTGTGTCAGATGTTTTGTTCCTGAGGTCAGGTAACGATGTTCCTGTAAAGCTCCACCAAATGAATGTTATTCCCTGTTCTGACAAGAAAGGGCCAGGTCCCAGGTACAACCTTCACCCTCCAAGGTCCAGGTTCTGGCTGAGAGGAGGCAGCGCTCAGCTGGCAGCTCCCTCAGGGCCACATCCCAATACCCTGTCCAGCTCATCACTGAGGGAGCCAGGCACCCAGGACCCAAGTGGCCCTCACACTCCTCAAGCCACCGGTCCAGCAGGGGCAGGTCCTGAAAAGTGTGAGCCAGGCAGAGAGCCACTGCTGTTAGGTCGCAGACAGGGACTGAGGAGAGGCTCACAGCTGCCTTAGTGCCTGGGCGAAGGTGAGTGAGTGGCCTTGGCAAGGGCTCTGGTGCCCTGCAGGACACAGTCCCCAGTCTGTTCTCTGGGCCCCGAGATCACCCGCTGGCCCAGGGCTGGGTGAGTTGGGGGGCCTCGGGGAGAAGGCTGCAATCTGCCTCTTAGCTCACTCTGCACCTCACGACCACCACTTTAGTTGTCTGAATCCCCTCACTAACTGTCGTTGCTTGTGGGCGGGGCCCACTGCCGTGCTGTCCAATGGCAGAGAAGGGTCACTAACGGTTCCTCTTTGACAGTTGGTTACCAGTGGGCGGGGCCCGCTGAAGCACCGACCAATGACTGAGCAGGACCCACTGCCTGGTAACAGTGTGCAGAGTAATGATGCACAGCAAAGGCTACTATGCTAAGGGCTGAGCTCCAGGCACTGTGTTACAGTATTTTTTACATGTAGAATCTTAAAAAAATTGAACCCAGATACAGATAACAGATTGGTGGTTGCCAGAGGTGGGGTGGGGGATGGGATCAGAAGGTACAAACTAGTTATAAGATAAATTAGTCCTGGGGATGTAACATAGGGTATAGTGACTAGTTAACCATATTGTATATTTGAAAGTTAATAAGAGAGTAGATCTTAAAAGTTCTCATCTTAAAAGAAAAAAATTCTATGTGAGATTATGGATGTTAACTAATTGTAATTTCACAATATATGCATACATCAAACCATTATGTTGTACACCTTAAATCAATACATTATGCCAAATGCATCTCAATGAAACTGGAAAACATGGTATCATGTAACTTTCAAGACAATGCTTTAAGAGGCCTTACAACTTTAAAAAAAAATTAATATTTTATTTTGGCTGCGTTGAGTCTTAGTTGTGGCACATGGGATCTTCACTGTACCATGGCAGACCTTTCATTGCTGCACATGGACTCTCTAGTTGTGGCTTGCAGTCTTTGTTGCTCCAAAGTATGTGGGATCTTAGTTCCCCAACCAGGGATTGAACCAGTGTACCCTGCATTGCAAGGCGGATTCTTAACTACTTGACTATCAGGAATGTCGAGAGAGGCCTTACAGATCCAAACTTGGCCCTACCTGGAGTGTCATTCCCAGACCTCCATGTAAGGAAGCACATTTAGCCTCCCGGAGTCAAAGAAGCCACAAGAATGGGAGCAGACGTGCCCAGGCAACATCCAGCACTGATTCTCACACATGTGAATGAGGCCACTCTGGACCTTCCAGGCCAGTGGATCCTCCAGCAACTCTATGAATGAGCTCAAGTGAAACCAGCACAGAACCACCATGCAGTGCACACTGCTGTTGTTTTAAATCACTAAGTGTTGGGGTGATTTGTTTTGCAGGAACAGATAACTGGAATATACTCACATCATTGCACAGTGACAAAAAGATGTGAAATCCCACAGACAGACCTGTCACATAGCCTGAAAGTACTCAAGAATCAGTGACTACACGGACTTCCCTGGTGGTTCAGTGGTTAAGAATCTGCCTGCCAGTACAGAGGACACAGGTTTGATCCCTGGTCCAGGAACTAAGATGCTCAGAGGCAACTAAGCCCATACACCACAATACTGAAGCCTAACCATCCTAGAGCCCAGGCTTTGCAACAGGAGAAGCCACCACAGTGAGAAGCCCTTGCATCACAACTAGAGAAAGCTCTCATGCAGCAATGAAGATGCAGCACAGTCATAAATAAAGCTAAATAATTAAAAATTTTTTAAAAAAAGAAGTAATAACTGAGTCCAGAGATGAACAGGCTCCAGGTTAGACATTGACAATTGGCTTGCTATTTGCATTTCTTGGGGCAGGAAGAAGTAGGCTTCAGATTGGACACTTCTAACCAGTCTACTGCTTGCATTTCCTGAGGTAAGAGATAGGTGGGCTCCAGTTAAGGCATTTACAATCAGCCTCCTATTTGCCCTCCAATATGGAAGTAACAACAGAAACAGGGTAAACAGCCAGTCTCTGACTCTCGTAAACACCTTAAGGTAATAGTCATGGCAACAGTCAAGGTAATAGTCATGGCAAGGACAATGAGGGGCAAAACCCTCCTTGAGTAAAGGATAAAGGAATTTCGACTCCCCACTTTTTGGGTAAAGAGACACTACACATGTGCAGAAAGGCTCCTTGGGGGCCAAAAGTCAGAGAATAATGCCAGACCATAATGAGTCTTGATCCTCCCAGAAGACTTCACTTGAAATCTATCTTGGTTGAGGGGTGTGCACACATCCAAGGGAGGGTCCTAGGGTAGGTCAGGTGTGGAAAAAGAAACCAGATAATTGGCTAAAGGTAAACAAGGACCTGTAAGAACTGACCTATATAAATGACTTGACCGCCTCTTTACTGCATTCCTCCTAAGAGGACACCCACAACCTTTCTCTCTGGGTGCGCATCTCTGCCTTGCTTCTGTCTTAACAAACTGCTTCTCTGGGTGCCTTCCCACTTGTTATGCGGTCTCCAATGATAAACTCTGTACCTGCATTTACAGTTCTAGTCTCCATGATAAATGCATTTTTCACTGGGGGCAAAGATCCCCCCAGGGAAAAATAGCTTCTAGCCTGTAACCCTGGTTGATCTGGTGGCTGGGATTCCTGATTTTCATCCAGGCTACCCAGGTTCAATTCCTGATCCCACCTCATGCCATTGCTCACTGCTGCCTCACTGAGATCATGATTACATACTGGAAGATCCTGGAAATAAACTGCATGAAATATATCCAAATGGAGCTGGTGGCTGGGATTCCTGATTTTCATCCAGGCTACCCAGGTTCAATTCCTGATCTCACGTCATGCCACTGCTCACTGCTGCCTCACTGAGATCATGATTACATACTGGAAGATCCTGGAAATAAACTGCATGAAATATATCC